CAAAAATTGGCGCTTGAGCTGAAACATCGTCTGCCAAATTTCAAGCTAATTGGACAAAAATTGAAGAAATTATCGCCGAAAAACAGGGTCTCATGGGGTCTGAAATGCATAGTAGTGTCGTTAGGCTCACTTCGCCCGACATCGTTAGGTTCAACTCAGCTCTGTGTGTGACAGTCGTATTTTCAGCTCCTTTGAAGACGAGTCGCCCGCTGTGCGTCGCGATTTTCCTACACGGTTCACAGAGCAGACGCCAATGCACACGAGCTGCGAATCACTCCTGGCATCGCCCGTATTGTGATTGCATCATCTTCCTTACAGCATTTCTTGTTAAAGCGACGTAGAACTACGGATAGTGGAGCACAGGCTCCGATGACGTTCGCCGTCATTTTCCACGTGGCCGGCTCTCTCAATGAGTAGGCATTGTGGGGAGAGTGCTGCAAGGAAGGACGTTTCCGCCAAATATCACTTCAGTCGGACAGGTCTCCAAATGTCGCTCTCTCGGTCACTGGAGCCCCGTCAGCGGCCGTGTTGACTGTCCGGCAGCGTCGGCCGGAAAGTGCGCCGCGCCGCGGGCCGGGGGAGACCGTCTGTGCGCCCGGGCCGTGAACGGTTATTGACTGCATAATTTCCCGGTCCGACCTGGAGCGAAGTGGGCTCCGTTTTCCATCGGCAGATACCCCGGGGTTAGACGGACTGGTCGCGACGATCGATGACGCCGCTCTGTGCTTCTACTCGCCTATCTTATTTCATACATGTCCTCTCTCTCTCCCTCTCTCCTCTCTCTCTCTCTCTCTCTCTCTCTCTCTCTCTCTCTCTCTCTCTCTCTCCATCCCTCCCTCCCTCCCACCCTCCCTCCATCTTCTTTTCTCTCTACTCCCTTTCGCTCCCCTCCCCTTCTCTCTCCCTCTCTTTCTCCCTCCCTCTCTCTTTATCCCTCCCTCCCACCCTCCCTCCATCTTCTTTTCTCTCTACTCCCTCTCGCTCTCCTCCCCCCCTCTCTCTCTCTCTTCTCTCCCCCTCTCTCCCTCTCTCCAGCCTGAAATCGGCACGCACATCTAGAGAGGCCCGTCACCGACTCTGAATTTATGCTCACGAAGTTAGCGCGACGAAGTCAATCAGCGAAAGAATAGTCAGCTCAGCTTATCTCACAGCACTGAAATAATCAGCGTGCTACCGTCGGTGGCGCTTGGGTGGCGCCACCAACGTATAATGCGTGAAGCGAATTTACATAATACGTATTTATACGAATTGCTCCGCAATAGGGATTACGTCTTCCGGAGTAGGAATGTATGGATAGGTATAATTTGGTTACTGTTAGCGATGTCGTAGCAGGCGGATGTAACTTGTAAGTGAAGCTTAATAGATGGTGACTGTTTAACTTTTAAGGAGTTCTGTGATTTTTGTTGCTCTGTGACAGTTCCTGAAATGCCAAGAACGGTGCAGTGAAGTAGGCATCACGCATTTTCATAATAGGTATCTTCATTTCCAGCTGGCTTGTTGCGGCTGGTTGACGCGACCGCTTTCCTTTGTGCTTCACCTACCATAGTCTGAGTATCTTCCTGGAACTGGGAAAGTACAAATGTTCGAGATAGATGGACACCAGAAATAAAAACATGGAAATAAAAAACAAAATTAATTCAAATAAAATAAATAAAAAGTGGAAGCTGAATTGACATGTTCTGGGCATTTGTTTTAAGAAAATTGATTAAAGCTAACTATTTCCTAAATTTGTCTAAGCCTGTTGACAAATGTTCCACTTGCGGCCTAGAAGGATGATAATACCGTGAAACTAGCTGGTCGGCACGTAGGTAGGCAAGTGTTATGACGATGTTCTTTGTGAACGATTAATTTCCCCGCCTTTGCTATACAGCCCATTCCATTATCTTCACAGCGTTAGTAGTTAGTACCTACAGCTATCAGCGACCCTGTTATCCGTCCCGTTGATTATTGTTGTTTCCGTTGTTAATGGGCTCTGATGCAGATGCTCTCTCTGTCCATTTTGTCTTAGTTACGGTGGCTGCCGCTTTCCTCGTGAGGCAGACATTAGAATGTTTCTTCTGACGGATGCGGAACGCCGAGGCCTTTGTCCTATATGACACTCAGCATCTCACGAACATGGCCTCGGTATATGATGCTGCAATGGACGTTGGAAAAGGGCTATTGCTTATCGCGGAAGTGGGTAGATAAAACTTAAGCCATAGAAAAGAAAACAAGATAGGAACAAGTATCGCCTTATTGCGGTACAGCGCAGTTGATGTTTTCCCCTAGGCTCAATATTTTTTGAGTGATCATTGACCAGTGATCAAGAAAGAAACGAAATTCTGAGGTTACCAAACAACTCACTCAAGAGATGAGCCCATTGGCGCATTTTGCCAGAAAACTTATCTCTGAGTATCAGTAGCCGACTTTTTCTAATCTGTTTTCTGTGAGTGTAGTGTTCAGCAATTAGTCGCGCATTATACTGCATGCTCACTTCCCAACTGATGCGGAATGATTGCTGTTAATGCATTCGCGCGTGTGTGTCTCCGAATGTCGGTAGATCTATGCAGATAAATGGATTGGGAATTTTCTCCAATCAGCGATATACGCACATGTTGCGCACGTCCGGTGTCGTTAGGCTGTGTTATAACAACAGAGCCAAGGGTCCATCTAGCTCAGATCCCTCCCCTCCCCTCCCCTCCCCTCCCGCCTCCCCTATCCGACGCCAAAGGTCGCGCGCTGTTCTCAGAGAGTGTCAGTGGCCCATGCAGGCCTAAAAGGCCCTCCGGCGCCAGCGGCGCGCGAGGCAGCGCCATTGTGACGGCCGACGGACGACTTTCGCAGGCTGTTTTATATGCATTGCCGGCGGCGGCTAACACCGGCCTGATACGCTGGAATAACCGCCGAGAGTGCGGCCTTCGCCCCGCACTTGGTAGCGGCGATTGATAAAGCAAACTGGGCGGAATGGCAATGTGAGTGCTGGCGGACCGACCACCGGATCAGTGTCGCCGGCTGGGCGCTGTGTCGCCGTGATGTTTAGACTCTCATCGGTGTTGCGGTGGGAAAATAGAGAGATGGTGGTCACAAGGATTATAGGGATCGTCTGTGACTGCTAGCTGAGTCAGCATACATATGTGTGCTATGTGTGAGACATGTATTGGCCACGTTGCACCGTCGGATGTCTAACACGTGTTTAATACTTAATGTAAATATCTTTTCCGATGTAGGCATATGTTCTTTCTTTGTAGTCCAATTAAATCTGTCCCATCCCGAAGTTCCGAGCTATGTAAACCTTGCGTCAACTCGTGTTTCAGACACGTGCATGCAGCCAGTTGCTGAGACCGGGCCGACTTAAATAGCTTCATTGTGAGCAACTGCGGGGCGTTTAAATCGCTTACATATGGATGTGAGCCTCCGGATAGTTGCCTGTCTGGATGGATTTGACAATTTTTTTTAGCCAAGATATTTTACGGTTTCATCACTGCGCCGTTCAAATAAGCCGGTGGCGTATTTTCTCTGCAGCATATTTTGCAGTGTAAGTACACAGTCGTTTGGCCGGATGTGGCTCATATCTCCTTTTTGGTGAGCCCGCAGGCCGTTAGGAGTATCGCGCCGGCTGATAGCGGGGCCATTTTCCGTGAGTGAGTGGTACGGTACGAGCGAGCTGTTGACGCACTCAGAGTGAGTGAGAGTTAGCGCCGAGTGCAGTGGAGGGGGGGGGGGAGGTGTGACTGCGAGTGGCTGTGAGTTTGACAGTGCGTATGGCGGTGGATGGTGCTGAGTCGACGCCAAGTGTGGCGGTGAGCTTGACGATGAGTGTGATGAGACGATGAGTGTTACGATGAGTTTGACAGTGAGTGAGCTTGACGCTTAGCTTGACGGAGTGCGGCAGTGAGTGTGGCAGTGAGTGCGGCAGTGAGTGTGGCGGTGATTGGCGCCAAGCTGACGCGCGCCGAGCGGCGTTGTTTGTCGGTCCGCGAGTGTCGATCGGCTGAGCTGTGACCGGGATCAGCTGCTGGTTCCAGCACCGCGCCACGGTCAACACACGGCGAGTCGGTCCGATGAGCCGGGGAATGCATCCGGGACGTCCCGCCCCGACAGCCAGTGCGGCAGGATCCGACTCTCCCGTCAGCGTGTGTTACATTTCCACTCCTTGATCGTCTTTGACATAGAGTTCTCAAACTCGGGTGTGACTAATATATCTATCGACACCTATACCCATCGGCACATTCTCATCGTGTGACCAAAACTGCGCATCGTGTGTGCGCAAAACGCACACTGCGCATCGTGTGTGCGCGCAAGGTCTCTTTATTAGACGCCCGTGTGCTCGATTTATGTTGTCATCGTAATCTGCCGTTATTTGATGTGCTTTCCTGTGTTCGCCGCCGGTCGGACAGTGAGACCACCCGTTTCCAGTTGTCTCCCGGCGAACTTTATTGGGTGCTATGTCTGTGAAGTTGGCCAATATTGACAGCGCGTGTCCGATGGTCGTTGCTTTGTTTCGACCGGCCGCTTTAGGAGATTCCCAGCCATTCGTTATTGAAACTGAGAGAGTATGTAGAGTTACCGACGCAATTCAGTGGGCTCGTGACGCTTTTGACCTTGGTCGTCTCATTTCTCATCCTTTAATGGTGGATGCAGTCGATTGTTGTTGACCAGTGGGATGTGAAGAGTCATTTGTAGGGCTCGTCTCGGTACCAGTTGGGCACTCATTTAAAGTAACCCTGAATGATGGGTGTCAGTCCAGCATTTGCTAAATTTATTGTTCATGAGATCTTTGCTTAAATCGTTTATATTTAAACGCATAACTGAATGAGATTCGCCTTTATAAGGTTGTCTAAGGTGTGTCGTTTCGGCAGTGCTTTTATTTTCCCTCACGAATAGAAAACTAGTTTCTCGCACGGCTATCTGTAACCACCCTTATGTCCACATGTCATTGACGTGGCGTTCAGCTGCCTTACGCTAGCGGTCCACCCGGGCTTTCCACCGAGTCTGACAGTCTCCTCCCCCTCTCTCGCCAGGAGTGCACCAACATCTTCTCGTCGGGCGGTGGTGAGCAGCTGAGCTCGGTGGCCGGCGTGCCGTTCCTGGGCCGTCTGCCGCTGGAGCCGCGGCTGGCCGCCGCGCTGGACGCCGGAGCGCGCTGACCGAGGCGGCGCCCGCCGCCGGACCCGTGGCAGACGCCGTCTCAGAGATAGTGCGCGGCCTGCTGCAGACGGTGCGGTGACCGAGCGGCCGCTGCCGACGACTGCCGGCCCACCCGAGCGGTGGGTCGGGCCTCCTGGCCTGCTGTCGGGGTGCAGTGGTCCCTTCTGGCTCACCATCAGCTCAGAACTGGGTATTTCAGTGCCGCCACCAGTGATGAAACTGCTCAGCCAGTTGTGGGGATGTCGTATTCCCAACAGTGACGGGTACCCGGCTGCTAGTGTCGCCAACAGTGATTATATTTCCGAGAGGGCCAGTGACCGACTAGCGCTCCTGTGGCCCGTGTGATCATTGTCGGTCAGCACACCGCCCCGTGCTGATTGAGCCGTGAAGGCGCCGGAATGGAGTGGACACAGTCTCGGCACGGTGATAGCAGTTGCCATCGGTGCCGCCGGGCCGTTCAACTCTCGCTGACCTGTCCGTCCGTGGGCCGGGCGGCTTCCCGACCCGTCCATGGTCTACCCGTTGGCCGGGCGGCTGTCCTGTTCTGTCTGAAGTAGTCGTCTGATCCGACTGAGTCCGGTCCGAATGATACCAAACACTGGCGCGAGGGCTACACTAGTGATCATATATTGACGAACGGAATAATATATGAAATAATGCTTTAATTTTATTTTTGTTTGTTGGGGAGATGTATGTATCCCTGACGCACATCTTTTACTCACGACATTATATCTATCCGTTCAGATTTCCTGATAGTCAGCAGCCTTTGAAATATCGGGAAGGCGGTAGCATTTGTGTCGCCGTGACAGAACTACCGATGTCATCTTTTTTTCTAGTTAAATAACGATTGTCTGTCAGTTCTGCGACGAAAGTAATGGAAAACGTCACTTTTGCTTTTACAAAGAAAGGATAGTTAATTATTTTTGCAGGACTCAATAACATCCGTGTTTCGTTTGTTTACAAAGCTGTATTTGATATCCCGTGCAATCAGGGTGGCTTGTTTGCTTGATATTTTAGATGTTTACACCACATTAAAGGGACTATCCCACCTTCTAAAATGTTGTTTAAAACCAGTTAACCCTCGCATGTGTGCGGCGTTTGCCAGCTTCTAATGTGTAGGGGGGGGGGGGTCGGTTGGACCCCCCCCCTTGCCGTTTGGCCCCTGATCGAGCTAGAGCTTCGCGGAAAAAACGAGCGTGTTGCCCGTGACGAGAGGAAGCCGATGATACCCAATTTTAAGGTCCTAGGTCATTGGGTGACCTTCCAGGTCAGGTCAATGACCCAAAGTCGGGAAAATCGGGACCTGTTAGAAAGTCGTAAAGTGTGGCTTCTAAGGGGTTTTTCGGGGTGCTGATCACGAATATCGTGTTAGTTTTGACCACAGATGATGTCTTTAAGCATTTAGACTAGGTCGGGTCAGGTCAGGTCAGGTCAACCAGTAGGCATCGTGACGGGTATTCGTAGTACGTGTCAACCGCCTCTGACAGCTTCGTAACATGTTACGAAGGCACCAAAACTACTTCGTAAATGTTCAAATGGTTGCTAAATTCGAATTCAGCTCCAAAAACTAGCCTAGAAACATGTACAGCTCGAAAAAGTGAACCGAGGTCACCCGAGGTCACCAAAGGTCAATGACCTGACCTGACCTTCAGGTGACCTTGACACCCACCCTAATGCATGGAAGCAACATCAAATCACATGTTTGAACGTTTGAAACCACGAAAAGCTTGCAAACGCGCGGCTAATGCGAGCCGACATACGCAGAATCGCGATTCTGGCCAAACATGGTCTCGGAAAAGAGGTCACAGGTCAAAGGTCATTTTGGTCAGGGTCATGAAATTTTTAGGGTAGGTGTAAAATTGATCAATGTGAGGGTACTGAAAGTTTCGTCGCGATCGGCCGCTTTTTACGCGAGTTATTCGCGAAAAACCATGGGGGGGTCCATCCGACCCCCCCCCCCCTACACATGCGAGGGTTAAATTGTGCCCGACTTTATAGATTGGATGACCAGGAACACGGTTCTGGCATTTATTTTTCATTAAACATCTTAGGCTTCCCATATTCCAAACACAAACTTTCAAATATGTGACGTCACAGCCCAAAATTCCCTCCCCCAGGCCACATTTCTGTCATAAACTGATTCTTTTTACTCTGTAGGCACCACAACAAAGTTCAGACCAAGTTTTAAGCGATTTTTCAACGAACAAACCCATTTAAATCAGAATGACTAAACGAGGTGACGTCACACTAACGGTCGCTCCATGTTGAAGATAGGGCCTTGTACAAGGCCCATTTTCAAATGAAGGGAACGAATTTCTTCAACACCAAGAGGCCGCGGGGGTTGCAACCTAGATAGATAGTGGTTTCTGAACCTCGCCGCAAACTGGCTATTTCAACTCAAACCCCATGTTAAAGGGGGATAGTCCCTTTAAATTTGCAAATTGAGTCTGCAGATGTTTGTTTTTCAATTTTATGTGACGTCGCCCTGTGTCCATCGTGCGGTTGTTAGATGCACGATGTAGCCCTCGCTTGTCTGGAGGCGAGCTATATTGTGTCCGTGATTGTCTTCCATTCTCCTGGCGTTAAGCTCGTACACCGACATTTCTCATTTGCCTTTGCCGTCCGCTCGCACTAGTTAACTTGCTGTGTATGCGTTCTAACCTCCGCCGTTCGGCTATACTACTCAGCGTCTGGTCGTACTACCTTGGCCGTTTTGCTACCACTGCCACTCGTTCGTGCTAACTACTTATGCTTTGGTGCTTGTTCTGTTCTCTGCCGTTTGGTTGTACTACTTCCGCCGTTCGGTCGTATTACATGTGCCGTTGGGTTTGCCCTCTCGGTCGTACTTAGTAGTCTGCCGTTCTGTCATGCTACCTCGGTCCTTTGTTTTGTCCTCTGCGGCTCGGCCGCCAGTGATGCATATCTCTGGTGTTCAGTCAAACAGCCGTCACCTCCGACAGTTTGGCTGTCGGCCTCCGAGCCGTCACCTCCGACAGTTCGGCTGTCGGCCTCCGAGCCGCCACTGATCTCCCGGGGTCGTCCCGATCGTGCGGTGACGACCAACTAATGACCGCTGTCCGCCGCCCGCCCCGGCCCACCGACTGCCCCAGCCGGGCTGCGGGCCGGGCTCACCCGATCCGCGACCAACCCACCGCCGGGCCGGGGCGCCGGCCGTCCACGGCTACACGCTGCCGGCTCCATCGCCATTCACAGACGGGAACTGGGCGAGTTGCGGTCCGGAAGGGGATGACTTCCGGTCCGGAAGGGGATGAGTTCCGGTCCGGAAAGGGATGAGTTCCGCTCCCGACGCTCAGAAGAGGCGCCTGTGGTTCCCCGGAAGTGTGTTCTCGGGGAGGCAAAATGGCGGCTGTTCTCCAGGATAGAGAATAGGATGGCTAAGAGCCAGTGCTCTGCTGTGAGGAGATGGCTTTGGGTTGTATTACCTCAGTGTCAACAGAGGAAGTGGTCCCGTCTCCGGGCCATCCTCATATATGGCTGCGCGGTCCGCGCCCTTCCCTGCGGCCGCTGAACAAATGCCAGTGTGCCCACTCATTTCCATTCAAAACAAAGAGGTGAATCGTTAACTAAAGGGGTACGACATCTCGTAAATGGGTATTTCAATGATATGGTAATATCGTACATCTTTATGACAAATGAGGGTTTATAGAATTTGCTATACTCACGTGAATATTGGGGCTAGGCCTATAAGGTGTACTAGTTAGCAGATTCTATAATAAGCCAATTGGATATATTTCTTTTATAGTCGTTTAGATGTTTCGTATTTTGTACGTGTTATAATTTATTTGAAGTACATCACAGCTGGTAGCCATCAAACACCCATGCAACAAAATAGGTACGTCGTCAGAGGTCTGTTCTATCCAAACCTTAACACTTTACAGCCAAACCCATCGATGACAACATCGAACGAGCAAATGTAAATAGACACATACCTACTTACATACCTACGCTTCCATTGACTTTGAACATAGTGTTCCGAAAATAACACGTGTCTTTGGGTCATCCTCGCATCTCCATTGCTCACATTGCCGGTTTAGTGAGCCATTCTTTGTCTCATTCGCGTCCATGTCAACAGTCCGTCGTGCCCAACCCCTCTCCAAAGAGTGTCATTCCTATTGCGTTTTGACCATCATCGACAGCATTAAGCTCGGTACACAAGTAGACAGTGTAGTCTGCACACAGCGCACAGTGGACACACCGAAGGGGTTGATGTTCTCGGAGAGCGGCCACACTCGTCATTTCCACCGTACACATATCCAGCACTAGCCCTGGCGCTCAAACGCCCAGCAAAAGGGGCGAACAGCGGGACAATGGCGCCTGCCAAAAAGTTTTTTTTCAACATTACTATGCCTCGTGAAAATGAACAACTTGTTTGACCCCTCTCCTGAATACATTAAAACACATCATAGACCAGCGCTGGCGTACACTCAGACACAACGTTGGTGGCTCTAATGACGCCTTCTTTTTAGAGACATCAAAGCCAAGCCGATAGATACAAGTTAATTTGACTATCCGCGACCGAAATAGTAACTTATTGGCGATAAAAAAAGGTGGATATAGCTCGTTCTGAAGAGATAACACGTCAAGAATGGCGTACTCTGAACACAACACATGGTCTCACATCACGCTCCTGTTGACATTAGCGTAATGTACACGCATCGGAAAACAGCACAGTCATTGCAATACATGCACATGGAGGACGCATGCCGTCCGCAATAGTAACCAGTAGACAACAGGGCTACTACAGTCCATTTCGGAGCCACACGTTACGGCTCCGCGGTACGTTGATGACACGTCTCCGCTCCGCTCTGTCTGGTGGAGACGGGGCGCGAGTGTCGCCCAGCGGGGCGCGACATCAGATCATTTGTGGTGGAGAACACAGTCCAGTGGGCCGCAGTGTCCGACGGACTGACCGATCGGGCTCACGGCGGGCCATCGACAGAGACCCAATTACTTAGTGAACAAGTCCACTCGGCGCCGGTTTTGGCTACCGTCCATCGGGAGGCTGCGATTTGGCTCGGTGAGGAAATCAGATGTGCTTAGCTGAGCGGCAGGGTCATAGACCAGTCGTCTTTGCCTCACAGTTCAGTCACAGGTCGTCGTTGCCTGTGTGTCAGCCTCAGCTCCAGTCTCAAAGACCATTCTCACTTTGCAGGCATTTGGCCGTCTCACACCGGCCTCTTGGCCAACCGCAGCGGCTGGTCGGTCAGAGTTCTGCTCAACTTCTGAGTAGTTGAAAAGGTCACCTGTCCAGTCACCAGACATCCAGCCTCAGCCTATCTAGACTAAGCCGTCCGTGCAGTCGGTGAAGCTGTCGAGGACTGCTCAGGGACATCCAGCAGCAGAGATCCGCCGACCCACGGCAGGGGTCCGACCACCTGCGGTTTTTCACCGAGGTGCTACCGTTCCCTTGGAAAAAAAAATCCTGATCGGTCCCGCAGCAGGGCTGACCTCAGCATTGGACCGGCTGCGGCGCGCCGGCGGAGCGCAGCACCCGCAGCGGGATCTCGGTGTGGCCGTTCTGCCGCAGGCTGGTGGCCGCCGTGGTGGTGGTGCGCAGTCCGCGCTGGGTGCCCGCCAGCAGGGTGGTGCGCGTGTTGCGGCCCGGCTGCAGACTGCCCGGCGTGCCCGGCCGACAGAGCAGCAGCTGCCGCAGCCGCCGCAGCGCCAGCTTTATCTCCGGCATGCGCGCCGCGTAGATAACCGGGTCGACCAGACACTTGAGCACGACCAGCGTGTTGGTGGTGATGGCCATCTCGAGGTGGGTGCGCCAGTGCAGCTGCCGCGGGTGCATCGAACAGTCGTAGCAGATGAGGATGAACGTGACGACCGCCGGCATCCAGCAGAGGATGTACGTGCCTAGGATGAGCAGCGTCGTCACCACAGCTTTGACGCTGCTCTTGAGCTGCGACGAGTTCTGGTTGCGCAGCGAGCCGCGCTGATGCTGGCGTACCATGATGAAGATGTGTGTGTAGGCGAAGAACATGCAGATGAGCGGCACGAAGAAGAGCGATGCCACCACACGACGGAACGTGCTGAACGGCAGAAAGTCGAGCGAGCAGCCGTCGGCGCGGAACCCGCCCGCCGCCGCAAAGTACACCAGGAAGAAGAGGATGGGCACCAGCCACAGGAAGCCGATGGAGGTGAGCACGCGGCCGCGCGTGATAAGGCGCGCGTAGTGCAGCGGGCGCAGGATGCCCACGTAGTGGTTCAGCGCCAGCGCCAGCAGGTGGGCGGCCGTGGAGATGACGCCTCCCAGCCGGAGCGCCTCCAGCACCAGCGTCGGACAGCGGCTCAGCGTCTCCACGCCGAACCCGACCGGCAGCAGGCTGTTGACCACCAGACCGAGGCCCAGGATGGAGGCGGCGTACGCGTCGGCGCCTGCCAGGCTCACTGAGAAACACATGGTGGGGCTGAGCGGGCGCCGGATCAGGCGCGCCGACACGCAGATGCTGAGGTTGATGACGGTGCCGATGACGCAGAAGACCAGCATGATGGGCACGGTGATGAGGTAGATGTTGCGCCGGTGCTCGAGCTCGCCCTGGCGCAGCTGGTTGCGGATGTGCAGCGCCAGCAGGTGACGCAGCACGGTCTCGTTCACCGTGCCGTTCGACGTCTCCAGCAGCTCGTGCAGTGGCCCGAACTCACTGAAACGGGGAGCGCAGCGCGTGCGTCATTTACGGAATTATGCAAGTAACAGTCACAAAAGTAATAGAAATGCTGGATGGAAGCTGGTGGCTGAGCTTATAGTTAAATAGAACACTAGTGAAGTTCAGCGGATGTATGTAAACGAGAGCAATGTTACCGACGACATCTCTTTCATTTTCAAACTTCTGAATATCTCACGCATCTAGTTACTTGGCACAGTTCTAAGCTGTTACAAATTAGGTCGGATTTTTTGGAGTTATATTGAAATGAAATATAAGTGAGTGATTTGTGCCAGGTTGTAATAACTAGCATTCAGGTCTAGGGGCAGCTTTCTACAAACTAGCACTCAAATTATTTGTCACCCTATAATACTAGTAGATAACTTGGCCTTGAGACTTATTTAAACTTATCTCATTATATGCTTATTCGGATGATTATGCGATATTTTGAAGGGTATACGGTGCTTTATATACCCATATACCCGTTGTTTTATTGAATAAAGGCTTACCTACCTCAAAGGCCGGAAAGGGCTCACTATCGGAGGGACACGACTTAGTAGTGG